GTATGGAAATTAGTCTGTCAGGGCTATAATTCCCCAGGTCTTTTGTCCCCCTTTTTAAAGGCACTATGTCCTCCTCCAGTCCTCTGGGACCTCATCCTTCCTGCATGAGTTTTCAAAGATAATTGCAACAATCTCCAAGATTGCTTCAGCTAGTTTCTTAAGTACTTAGATGTCTTCAATAGCTCTAACTTATCTAAATCTTAATTATGTTAAGTATTGGTTACAATTAACATTTTTAGTGAAGACTGAAGCAAAAGAGGCATTAAACTCCTCAGCCTTCTTGATGTCATCTGTTATTTGCTGTCTTTCCTGCTAAGTAGAGCACCTACACTTTCCTTTGTCTTTCTCTTGTGCCTAATCTATTTAAAGACCCTCTTCTTCCTGTCTTTTATGTCTCTTGCTAGGTGTAACTAATTTGTGCCTTAGCCGTTCTGATTTTGCCTGTACATGTCTGAGCTGTTGATTTGTACTCAGCAATTTGTCCATGTTTTCATTTTTTAGATTTTTGATTTTTAAGTCATTAAAGAACTGATGGAGTCACATTGGCCTCTTACTAGTCTGCCAGGCTCTTCTCCGCATTGGGATAGTTTGCTGTTGTGCCTCTAATATTGTCTCATTGAGAAATTGTCAGCTCATCTGAACTTTTTTCCTTATGGTTTGGCTTGATAACAACTATTTCTCCTGTCTATGCTGACCTCTTGTTATTCTGGCAAACAGATCTGTTTTTTCCTTTCTTTTTTGTTAAACTGTATCGATGCCATAAAAATGAGTTAGTGGGAATCAAAAGTGAAATAACTTAGTCTTACTCATCTGATTTAAAGTATACGTATATGTAAAGAGAATTTAGGGGTTGAAGTGGATAGTGCAAATGTGGAATCTTGTCTGTACAAGTAAAAAGTAGGGACAGGAACTGCTGGAGGAGAATGTGCTCCTAAATCAGATTTTTTCTGTGTGACCACCAGGTTTGTAGCAGGACTGAGCCCTAAGAAAGTAGATAAACTTTCTATTAGCATGGTGAGTATTATATTTAAGCCTGTCTCCTTAGATGTGACCATTCTCTGACTCTGTTTTTAATGCAGTTCAGTGGACTATGCTTAGCACCTGATGTAAAGCCTCCCAATGACTTCAGTGGGGTTTGGGTTAGGCCCTTATTGCTTAATCTTATTTATGCTCATGCACAGCTTCAACTCACACATGCTGGAGTATAATGATCTTGAACTCACTTCTCTGTGCCACATAATGGCTTGCAGATTTAGGGCATTAGTGTGAATTTTGCCTGGTAACTTTTTAATAGAGCTCGTTCTGATATCTTCCTTCATTTCTTTACATTATAGACACAGCTGTATCCTTTGTGGATTTTTCCATTTTAAAACTCAGTCTACAATTAGCAACTTTTCTTGTTCCTTTCTGACACGTAATCTAGAATTATCCAACACAAACACCTAATTATTTTAATGGGGCTACTTTGCTATTTATAAAGTCCAATGACTACATTTGTTCTTGGGAGTGAAGTTGCTAGTCTTTAAGTAATGAACAATTTGAATGATCTGAAATTAAAGACAGGAACGGCACTTTGTAAACTAACCGGACAAACTTTTAACTATTGACTTCTAAAAGTTTTCTGTTTGTGTTAAAATGTTCTATTTATTTTTTATTCAGTCATTGTCATGGGCATCAACAGATCACTAATTTAGAAGGGAGTAGTATAAATACATTCTGAGGGGAAAAATATTTTTTCCCTCTGTCATAAATATTTTCAGTTATAGGGCACAACAGGCCAAGTGTCAGCGTATGACCAAAGATCCACAGACTTCTGATGACATTAAAAGGAGCAGGGACTGTGAAATAGGTGTGTGTGGTAATTTCTTTAATTCAAATGACATTTTTTTACTCACTTTAATTTTTCTAGCATTTTTATACAGAAATACATTTTAAGTGGCATAAAACCTGGCTTGAATGAGCTAGAAGCAGATTTCGCTAACATGACGTCAGCTCAGTGGACTGCCCTGCGTGACACGAACCACAAGAGAAATCACTTGCGCACTAGGACCCTGATCCTGCAAAGACTTATGTACAGTACATGATCAAGTTTACGCGCTGTGAATAGTCTCAGACTCCCTTTGAAGTCAGTGGGGCTATTCACTGTAAAACGTCTAAGCCTTTGCAGGCCTTAGACCAAGATGTTGATGTCAGTAAAACAACATCTGTGTTTTGCTGTAACACTGCAATTGGTGTAAACTGCAGTATCTAGAAGAACACCATGTGGTTGCCCATATTTTACCATTCTGTAGGCTCATTTTCAACCCAGTAGTTTGCAGTTATTAAAATGTTTGTTAGAAGTTGGAAACATGCCATGTAGGTCATGAAAGTTAAAAGATAGGTTTTGTTTTTCTTTCTAAAAATCATAGAATTATTTAAACAAACTCCCAAGGACACTTGTCCTTTTTACACTTCAGTCTGCTTAAATAAAAGCATAAGAAATTAATACAGCTTTATGAAGGTGCACATTTTCAGCATGTTTGAGATTTCGGGTTGATTTACACTGACTTCAATGGAGTGATGCTGATTTACCAGATACCACTGTTTAGTCTTACCACTATTTTAAGATGAACAGTTCTGACCCATAGAAATTACAGAAAATCCTAGCCAGTCACTTTGTTCCCTCTCTCCTGGGACAGGTTAGTTGCATAGGATATTTTTAGTGCTTGCTTATACAGCATGGTCCCAGTAAAACTCTTGCCTTGCTGGTTTCAGCTCTTCCAAATATGCTAATATCATGCTCCGGTGGGAAAGGCTGGAAAACTGGACACCATCAGATAAAAATGTTGAAACAAAAAGAGAGGAGACATGCGTTATGCTGATTTGAAGGAAGCACTTCCAGGACTGAATAAGAGGATCAGAAATTAAAAAGTTAAGCCTCTGTCTGCCTTTACCGCCATAACAAGGCTGATTGAAGCAGACATGTCTGGACTTGATTGCTCAGAGGCCAACTCACACTCTAATGGTTCTGCACCACTTCTGGGCTTTCTCCCTCCCTTTCATCCACCACCCTCAACAAGCTGCTATTTTCAGGAGTGATGTCAAAAAGGAGAAGATTGATCAGAAAACAAAATTGCCAGCCATCTTTCTGATCCTTCAGGCATGGGACAGGGTTGATCCCAAAGATTGAGTCTGGAAGAGTCACTGGGGGTCAGCAAGGTGTTTTTTAATCATTTTTTGTTTTACATAAGAAAATAGGGTTGTATTTAGCCAATAATAAAACAAAGACTTGCAAAGTTTGTGGAGCCAAAATGAACTGACATTCTATTTGTTGAGCAGATGCCAGCTGCAGGGTACTTGGTGGTGACTGTTGCACATTCTGCACTAGTCTGTGGCCAAAGAAGATAGAGGGGAGCCGTCACTTAAGCACCAAAAAATAAGTTGTCCAGCCAGCCAGGAGCAGTGCCCCAATCAGCACTGTGTAACTGAACAGCACAAAGGCCAGGAGCTCCTTCAGCACTTTCAGGAAGTGGACAGCGAAGGACTCCTGCATGGTTCCTCCAAGCACCACAAGCCAGATGGGATTTCTGCCGTTGTCTCACACTCTGCTCCCCACTAACGTACCCTGATCTGAAAGGAAGAGAAATAAAGGGGAGAATGAACCATTCTGAGCAGGCGGATGCAGAGCTGAGGGAGAGCCTGCTAATTGCATGTAGAAAAGTCTGGATTCAGATAGCTTCTGGTATAAACAATATCTGTAGACACTATGGTTTGTCAGAAGCTTTTTAATTGCCAGGGGAGAGTGTCAGGCTGGGACGGTGTTTGTGTATTTGGAAAGTCTCTTTCAGAGTTTTCAGGATGTATAGTGCTGAAAGGTGCTGCAGGATCTGATCACAAACCAGTTTAGGACTTGGGGTGGGGTGGGAGAGTGGAAGAAATAAACAAGGTTAAAAATACATATGGGTGGACTAGGGCACGAGCAGACAGATGACGTCCCAGCCAATTCCTGGAATTATTCCCTTCTGTCAATTGATATGTGGCTGGTGAGCTTCGTATTTAGAGCATTCGCCGATGGTGCATTAGTACCAACAAAAAGCTCTAATCAAAGTGGTCAATTCCTCCAGAGAAGCCACTGTTAATATTTAATGTTATAATTGCTTCTAATGGACAGACAGGAACAGAGCAGGCTTTTTGTTTTGGATCAGGGGAAGATTTGGGATTAAAGATAAATTTATTTATCTGAAAGCTTCATAACTCCTGTTAAAATAACCTTTTTTATTTTTAAAGGGAAAGGGATAAGATGTTTTAAACTTCTTTCCTCCCCAGTTAAATATATATTTGTGCATTGCCCAATCAGTTGCCACCAGTTAGTGAACTTTATGTAAAATCTCAATATATTTGCAATAGTTGTTTGCTACTTACTTAGGCTTTTAAGGTGTAAGGAATCCTACCCCCATCTACAGTTGCATGTTCATTGATCCTTCATCAGAAAATTACCAGAGCAAAAATATTTGTACCTTTGTATGCATGACCAAAAGGAAAATGAAAGTAGGCTAATACTAACCAAAAAGGATTATTTTTCTTTCAAATTATATACCTCCAGTCGAAGCAAAATGAATTCCATCCTACCACTTAACAAAGGAGTGATTAATTAGAAACATGAAGTGAAATCTAAACAGCAGCTTTAAAAATATATATATATTTTGTTTTAATGTTTTTTTAAACTCCCCACACCCCACGCTATGGTCAGGTGTATTAAAATACTGCAATTTTAAAAAAAATCTGTTAGATATAGTTTTTCAGAGTATGGAAATTATTTACTAACCAATGTTTTACGTGAATTTAATTATGGAACAATATCTTGACAAAGAGATAAATAAACTGCTTACCGTGGGATAGGTGACTGCATTTACTTCTTAAAGTTTCTGTTTGCTTTTGTTCTGTAGCTTTCTCTTGAATTTCTGGCTTCTAAAAGGTTGGTGATGTAGTTTGATCCCCTTCTGGTCTGCTAATCCGAAGAGTCAGGAGTAATGAGGTTGTATTTACAGCCTGCACCAGTACTAATGGACTAGGTGTGGTCAGAGACCAATTATTATATATGACATAGACCCTTTGCTTTCTCTGTGCTGACAGCACACCAGTACAGAACAGTCCAACCATTGGTATTGCCATAAATCCTAGGGAGATTTTTGATGTGAACAATATATTGCATACTTTAAAATGCATGAAACTCCCCACCTCCCAGTTGTCATTTAACACTGTGTTTTCGTAAATATCCTTATTTTTTCTGCATCAGATCTTAAGCTCATCTCCTTCTTCTTATTTCACCAGTCAGTTTCCTATGTTTTTGGATACTTTATTGTGCATATTCTGCTTTTTGTATAATTTTCTGCTCTTAGCCTTGTTCTCACAGACAGGCCATTAAAAAGGAGGAGGATGATACTGGAGTGGAACTGAGGAATCTCTTAAGATCAACAGGACGTGACTGGATGGATGCCTGTAGATCTAGTTAGGCCCGGTTATCAAAAATGATGGATGAAGGTAGGCTTACCTCTGCAATATCACAAGTCCAGTTTGGTACATACTGTATTTCACATATCCACACCACAGAATCTCTGCCTCAGAGAGAGAGACTGTTTGGTTTTTAAAATGACAGAAAAAATGTCAAGATGTCAGTCTAGTCTCAGTGAATTGGTTACTAATAATCCTATTTAAAAGGTAAAGGTTGTTTGGTTTGGCTTTTAAACAACCAGACATATATGCAGCACAGAGAAGCAAGAGCATCTACTGCAAATCAAATCTCTTACCTATTGAGACATTATGCTCTAGCAAATGGCCTCTTAATTTAATCAGGATCTCTTGTTATCAAATTATTACCCCATGGTCAGAAAGACCGTAGCTAGAAGGGAACATAAACAAGCTCAGGAAGCTTGTTAAGTAGTAATTGCTCCCCAGGAGAATTGGTCAACTCCGGACTTTGTTTCTTGCATATTTCCAGGAAGAGACCCTGTAGCTGATGTGTCTGTGTAACTGTCAATCTAGCTGCTAGTTCTGATGTCCATTCAGAAATGATATGCTGACACACAACGCTCTTTCTGGCCAAAGTTGAAGTTTAATTTGATACGCACGTTAAAAATATTTTTTTATGAAACAAGTCCAGTTACCAACAACTTAGTACAAATGAAAAAGTTAAATAATCTAGCACTTCTTGTTTTTTAACTATTTATGCTATTACCTTTTACATTTCACTTAGCTTGGCTAGTAAAACCAGATTAATTGGTTTTACTCTTCTCTCTCCTCAGTTTTGTTCTCTCAGTCTCAGGCAGTATCAAAATGATGCAGTATTACAGGAGAAAATGTATATCCAAATGAAAGAAAAATCAATTTAAATAATAAAATTATGAAAGCCTATTGAGGAGCTGTCAATTTGATTTTTTTTTAAACACTAAACCTAAACTCATGGTTGTCACTTTATCTTTCCTAGTATATTTGAGTACTATAAATGTGTTTGTATATGGTTAAAAGTGGAAGGCAAAGAACTCTGCAGAGGTGCAATTTGTAATTCTTTATGGCTTGATTTTCAAAGGTGCTAAGTATTGATTCCAATACTTGGGAAATCAGCCCACTATTCTGTAATAAGATATAAGGCCTCAGTTTGACAGATGCTTTATTACTGGAGAGCTCACGCATACCTGAGGTAAGAACAATCAGGTGGTAAATTTCCCATTCAGTTTTTTTACATACTTTAAAAAGTCAAATGTTCCTCAAGTACTTATCAAAGAAATAAAAATGTTAACTAAGAGTATATTACTTGTATGGTAGAAATCTAAGGGCAGGTCTACACTATAGCTGCAATCAACGCTCTGAGATTGATCCACCAGCGGTTGATTTAGTGGGTCTAGTAAATACCCACCAAATCGACAGCAGATCGCTCTCCAGTCGACTCCTGTACTCTACCCCTGATGAGAAGAGTAAGGTAAGTTGACGGGAGATTTTTTTTCTCCCGTCGACCACCCTCGGTGTAGACCCCGCAGTAACTTGACCTAAGGTAGGTCGACTCCAGCTATGTTATTCACATAGGTCAACTTACCGCGGTAGTGTAGACATAGCCTAGATATTGGCTAAGCAGTTTCGCATTGAGGCTGTGTTGACCCGCGGGGGTCGATGGGAGAAAATCTCCTGTTGACATACCTTACTCTTCTCATCGGGGGTAGAGTACAGGGGTTGACTGGAGAGCAATCTGCTGTCGATTTGATGGGTCTTTACTAGACCTGCTAAACTGACCGTTAGTGGATTGATCGCAGAGCATCGATCCCAGCTGTAGTGTAGACCTGCCCTCAGTAAAGTCTTCTGTTTCTGCTTGAAGAATATACATGCTAAAGGGAGGATTTGGTTAAATATTAGGGTTTGTTTCACAAATGTTCACGGAACTTCAATTTAAAATAAACAAATGTAGCAGAATATAGAATGTTCATCTAATCACAAACCTTGTCTTTTAGATCACAATTCAACAAAAAATTGAGACTATTTAAAGGATTAACAAGAGTATAACTATGGGGTTGGAGGAATGTGCCCCACAAAAGGGGGTGAATTCTAAAGCAGGAGACATTTGTTAAGGCAAGAGTTTCTGCTTGAAAAAACACCTGGATTCTTTTTCTTAAGGGCCAAACATTTTAGACGGGTTTGAACTTGAACTCCAGCTGCATAAGTAACACTGGAATTCAGCTCATTATGAATTCAGGAAAGCTAGGTGAATCACTGAGAATAATTAATCTAGCTCTCCTAAACTCAGGGGGTGTCAAGCACCCACTGTGCTTGAAAGGGTGGCTGATGATACTCAGCACTTCTCATGTAGGAGGCCTAGTGCAGTGTTTCCCAAAGGCGGCCACTAGGGGCTTTTCTTGCAGCCACAGCCTCCTGGGCAGTGATCCCTCCCACAGGGCCACCAGCAGGGGTTGACCCTGCCCCTGTCTGGAGAGACTAATGCTGGAGGAGCAGACAACTAGTGAGTTCCTCACCTTCCTGGGGAGTAGTGGTGGGCAACCTGCGGCCTGCAGGCCACACACGGCCCATCAGGGTAATCTGTTGGTGGGCCACAAGACAGTTTATTTACACTGACCGTCTGCTGGCACAGCTGCTCCTTGTGGCTCGGCTCCTCCTTCAGACAAGGGAGCCCTTTCACAGCTTTGAAATAGAGTGGCCAGCTCTGGCGATGATGCAGGAGGCAGAACTGAATCCAACTCAAACCATCTCCTGGCCTGTTAGTGGATTACCCTGATGGGCTATGTGTGGGCCGCAGGTTGCCTACCACTACTTGGGATGGTAGGGTCAGGGTCCAGCCCTGGGTGGCGGACAGCAGGCTCGGGCCATGGGGCTCCCCCCCCCCCAGCTGTGAGGCTCACATCCCCATTGCCCCTTGCTGCCTTCACCAGCCCATTATGTTCCCCCCCCCCAATACCTGCCCCCTGCTGACCTCCCCATCTAAGGCTTAATGTGTCCCTGGGCTTGCCAGGCCTGAGTGTGTCTGCTGCTGTGAAAAGTGCTGTTTGTTACTTTCACAGAAGCAGAGTCTTCTTTAAAAAGACAAGACCCTGCAGAGCAGCTTATTTGTGTTTCTGTTCTGTTTAGGGCCAGTAAAGAAGAGAGAGACAACGACATTATTTTTATTATTGAGTCTGTAGAAAGGGTCAATAAATTACAAGGAGTTGGACATGTGTATGTGCCTATTTATGAAAAGTTTGTCAGTGCGGCCATCAGCAAGAGTTTTAGGCCTCACTTTGAGGCTACCAAAAAAAATGTCTTGCGAGACCTCCCCCCCAGTGCATCACAAGGGCTCTAAAGGAGCATTAGTTTGTCAGCTTCTCCTTGTTAAGCAATCATTGCTGTTTAAGAGGTAACAAATGAAGATGTATATAACTGGGGTAGGCAAACTTTTTGGCCCAAGGCCTGCTTGGGGAAATTGCATGGAGGGCCATGAATGTAGGGCTGGGGCAGGGACTTGGGGGGCAGGGTCTGGCCCGGCACTGCTGCTAAGGCAGGCTGCCTGCCCTGGCCCCATGCTGCACGGCTCCCACTACATCCCTGGGGGAGGGGTTCCTGGCCACTGGGAGCTTTGGGTGTGGAACCCACAGGTTAGGGCAGTGTGTGGAGCCCTCTGCCCCCCCCCCCGGGGGAGCGGCAATCCCATGGGCTGCATCCAAAGCCCTGAGGATCCAGCCCATGGGGCTGTAGTTTGCCCACCCCTGCTATTAATTCGTTAAGCAGATATTTGTCTATCGAGTACAGACTCATATACAACTTTTGTGTAGCTTTTTCTCCTTTATTGCTCACATGGGATGGTGGTTTCCAGCAGCCCCTTTGTCATCAGTAACTGAGGATTTACATATTTATTGCAGCTTATGTGCTCTGAAGCAGCCACGCACACAGCCAGTAACATCAATACGTACACAGCAGCCATGGGAGGCTGCAATGGCTCTTCAGATAATAGTGATGTTGCTAGAAACTTGTGTGGTAAGGACAAACTAAAGGGGAAGAAGCTGTATTTTGGATGAGCCCTTGAGATTTGAGGAATGTAAGTGACTTCTGCCACTCAAGCTCTCCCTGTCTTTTTATTATTAATTGTCAGTGACCTGCAAGGATTAAACAGCTGGGTTTGTAGACATACCCAGAAAAACAGATTCAACTTGTACAGTGCAAGCTACTGCTACAAAAGGGACCTATGTAATGGGAGAAAGAATCCACAGAGTATCATTCCCTGCAAAGGCAGATAGGAAGGAGATAGTGTCTATTGCAAACTCATTTGCTGTCTGTTTGACTGTTCCTACCCCCCCCCCCCACTCCTCATACAACCAAACACAGCTGAACTACATTTATTACCAGGCCACCACCATTGAGCAGATACTGAAGAGAGGAAAGTAACAAATATTGACAGAAGTGGAGGGGACAACTTTCATCTAGCTGGGGTAAGCAGGCATGGATGTAAGGGGGGAGATATTAAGAAATGGAGAACTAAAGGCAGCAGGAAAGACTTGCTAGCACAGAGATCAATTAGATTATGGGCCAGTCTCCCTTGGTTGAAGGTGAAGCGGCCTAGGGCTTTGTGAGAGAGAGACAGATCAGACAGCGTAACATTGTGTTAGGTCTATGATTTTATAGTTCAGACACCAACAGCTCTAATACTGATTTTTATTTCCTCATATTCCTCTGTCAGAGTCACTCAGTTATTAAGGAAGTTCCATATATAGCAGGAACAGAGCAGAGTGTAGCCACTGCATGCACCCGTGCAAACATGATTTCATGTTCTCCAGCTGCAGTCATTTCTGAAGGCCCCATGCCAGCCTGAAGCATTTTACTGAATCTTTACATAGCTTCTAAAAAGGTGCAGGCTCCAGTTTCTCCATCAGGGATTTGATCCAGTTTGTGCCATTGATTAGTTTAGTGGTGGCAATGACATATTCTGTGCCTCCATCTTCCATCTGAGAAAGAAACCTCAGTGCAGCAATTTCAGCATAGGTCACACCTCCCAGAAAGAACACCAGCGTTACTCTGTTTTCTCCCTGTTGACCTGAACATTTATAGAGACAGTTACAAACTGGACTGGCGCTGAAAGGACAGGGTTATTATGAAGTCACCCTAGGGCCAAACTGAAGCACAGATTTCGGTCAAATTGCAAAAGTGATATGGAGCTGGTGGATAGAGCACTGAATGGGTTTTATTTCTGGCTCTGCCAGTGAGCTCAGGCAAATCCCAGCCTCTCTATGGCTCAGTTTCCCTATTGTAAAATGGAGGTAATACCTCCTTTGTAAATACTATCAGATTTACTGATGAAAAAGGCTATACAGTACAATAGCTAGGAATTATTTCTACCACCTTAGGGCAATGATCAAAGGCAGCTCACTGTACTGAAGTTGGGAAGATGATAAACCTAGAATTACTAATCAAATGAACAGTCCAGGTGGATGCTGTCAGTCACTATATCAGACTCTGTAAGTGAATTTAACAGTAGAATGGTCACAGACTAATCAAGTTATTCCAAAGAAGCTTACGCTTTTTTTGAAGGCCAGTTGGTAACTGCTGCCTCTCTTCAAAGTGGGGTCCTGGGAGCATCTTTAAAACTTCTTCTATGCTACGCCACCCTGGGCGAGCAAGCAGCTGTGCCAGACGCACACTTAATGGAGCATAGCCACTGTACACATATGAAATATCATTTGGGTTCTGTAGAAGGAGAGGGAAATGAACAGCAGTAGAGTTTTCTACTGAAAAGTGACACTTCAGCATATTAAAATCTTGCAAATGTACAAGCTCTCCCCACCCGCCACCTGTGTCCATCTTCCAACTGGTCTGTCTGTTGATAAAAGTCTTCAGTTTACCTGTTCATTAACATCATCCATCCACAGCCGCATGGTTTTCCTGATTGTTGGGTAGTTGTTTCTACTGCTTGTCTGAAGTTTTAAGAGTCCAGCCTTTTCCAGATTGTTTAAGGTTAATATATGTTCATAGCCGTAAGTCTGTAACATGAAGATTTTGCCTTTAATGTAGTACTGTCATTTACGCATCAAGAGCGAGTAGAAATAAAATCAGGGGATTTTTATGTAACACTAGACACTAACCAAACAACTTGCTGAAGTCTGAAATTTATAGACAAGACACCATCAAGGTTTGCAAGACAATGAGAGACATTTTAAATAGTGAATTCAATTAAACACTGATTTTAGGGACACAGTTTCAAGACAACTCATAGGGGAACAAGTGAGTGTGTAAAGTTAAAATGAATGTTTACAAATGTCTTTTTGCAGTGTGCAACAGAAAGCATGACAGTGGCCCAAAACAAAATTATATGCATGTTTTAAATAAATATGTTTAAATATATTTCACATTGTTAAAAGTTTTTAAAAACACAGGACAGTGATTAAAACACGTGTAGGCCTTGATCCTGTGAAGTTTTACACATGTGAATAGTCCTATTTAACTCATTAGGATCACTCATGTGTGCACAGATATGTATGGTGTGCAAATCTTTCCAGGATTGAGACCTTAATTTGCAAGGAATATCCACATTATTAGTTAAACAATTCTAGCCTGACCTGGAGAATCTCTCTTTTATAATGGTCCAACACCTTCTGCTTGAGTCCACTATTACACACTGACTGCAGGCAAACCAGCCTTAATATCTTGATCAGTGGATGTTTTTGAGCAATGCAATCTTCAGTGTAATTGTTGACCTATAAAGAAACAGACATCCAAGCTGTCAACCAAAAACCTAGGTTAGGATTTTAACAGAGCTGAAAAGAAAAGCTCTGTTTTTGCTTTTAATGGCAAAGCAAAGATAACATTCTTGGAAGATGCTTTTACGCTTCCCATAGTGATGGACAAGGTAAAACAGGTATCACAGCAGTTACATAAGCAGCTTAGATATATGCAAAATAGCTTTGTAGCGTCGGTGGTTCCAATTAACAAGCTTTGTCAATGGTGTCAACAATGGATATCTATGATCCTATTTGATACACTGCAAGTATTTTGCAAACTCTCATCCTTGATTCCCCACCCACCCCCATATCATCAGAGCACTACACAAGTCAAAGCACAGCGCACTGAAGCTGTGTCGACAGTTGCCCGTGCTGCACTCTATGCAGCAGAACCACAGCATTGTAACGGTGACCTTAGTCTCCCCGGGCCAGATAGAAAATGCAGCACAGCAGCTATTGCCCATCCACACCAGAAGACGGACAGGAGGCCACGGATGCAGGTTAATTAGGCTGCAACTTTATTCACTTTAATGTCTAGGAAAAGCCAACAATAAATTGTACAGTGCAGGGAGGAGGGAGAATGGGCTCTCTGCTGATGCAGATTTAGGAACCCCCTATACTCAGCTCCCATAAAAGATGCTTTCCTGCTGAGCCTTTCCCAATCCAATTGATCTGATAAGCGCATCCCTTCCATAGCAAGTACCTGCCCTGGACAGCCACTACAAGTTATACATACAAGTTGCGAGATAACCTAACCTTGGGTCCTCAGATCAGCTGTGTGGAAGGTGAAAAAACCCACCCTGCCTTGGCCAATCTGGCAGTGAGGGGAAAATTCCTTCCCAGCCCCCCAGAGAAGAGGCAACCAGAGTAATGGCCACAGAATGCCAAAAGCAAACCTGGTCCTATGCAAAGTACATGGATAGGTAGGTGGGAGCTTCCAGCCAGATCCTCATAAAGAGCCCTCTTCGTGGCTATGTGGGGTATAAATACCTCTCCCAGTCAGCAGGAAGGGCAATACAGTAATCTTGGCCTGGCCCCAATTGGATCCTTCCCTTCCTGTCCATCGCTGTAAGCTTTCCTCCTTTTTGGCCCTGTTACAAGGGAGCCCATAAAGGGGCAAAGCCCCTTTTCGTCCAACTTACCAGACCAAGACATACTTATAAAAAGCCTACTTAAATTGTGCCCACTGCATCCTAAGTGGTATGCACCACTTAGAAAGAACGTCTCCATAACGCACAAGGAACATACTAAAAGTTTTCAAGACTGACATCAAATCAGAGTCAGCCATTGTCTAGGTTTCTCTGTATTAACACACCCCCACCAAGTTTTGTGATTAGGAGACTGTGGTTAGAAGATAAAAATCACGTAAAGGCAAGATCTTGCTTTCCACCCACCTTGTCAGTGTCTATTCCTGACATGAACTCTTGTTCCACTGTTAAATTATCAAAGAAATCTTCTGATGCTTAAAAAAAAAAAATTCAATACATTAGTAAGTCGGTACCTAAAAATAAGGGTCAGTTTATCTGTGTATTAAATTGTGTCGCAGAGTCGCCCAAGTACAAATAAGGCCAGTATTTTGTTCCTGGTGTCTGAATTTTTTATGAAATCAGCAAAGTTGTATCTTTGGCTGCAAGACATAACACAAGATCAACTGTAGGTGGAATACTGAAAAGGATACTTACTAGTAATGTCTTTGATTAGCTCCGCAATCGAGGTATGGTTTGCTAGAGAACTTCTTGCTGCCTGCATGTGTGGCAGTTGTGAAACGAACTGCTTGATCTCCCCAACTGTTTTAGCATGGTGTCTTTCCTAAAAAGACCCAGCAATTATACTTTAGAGCTTATTCATTATAATAATAAATGTCCGTAAATCATTTCATCAAAAGGTGTGTTTTTGTCTGTTTAGTGTGTACTGTGTTCATTGCTTTACGAAAAATGGAAAGTAGTGAGCTTCATTACTGTCATCTTGAAACACTGATCCGTTACCTTCAGTGACATCTGACCTTTCAGATAGGCCGCATTTACAAAAATATATTGTTTCCTAGAACAGCACTGTTGCTTCATCAGTTTATAAAGCTGTTGAGTAAATGCACCATGAGAAAAACACCACTGGCATCAGAGTGATATCTTATTTTACAAGAGAGGCTGCTAATCACGTTTCTCTGTGCAATTACATTAA